CTCCTGGTGAGCTAGCTGCGCTGTGGACTCTGCAGTAAAAACTTTATATTATAGAGCCTGCAGACAGAAGCTCTATTTGAAAACCCAGGAAAGCCATTCTAAAGGCCCCGGCTTCCCAGAGCCAGCTTACTAGTACACCAACTCTGATACAGAGACATTAGTGCAGAGATGTAGCCTGCTCCCCAGGAGTGGGGCCAGGAATCTGTGTGTAACCATTACAGAAACAAATAGTCAACTGATAAGCATGAGTTTAAATCAGGGGTGGGGAGATTTTTTTGGGTTGGGAGCCGCTGACCCACAGAAAAATTCAATGGAGGGCTATACACCAGTGAGAAGGTAAAAAGTTCCTCACTCAAACCCTCACTATGTGGCCCCTGACTGAAGACAATACCCCTCACACATTCCCCATACACATCAGAGCCTAAAGGGGCCCAGGCTAGTAGATTCTGTGTGCTCCAGACTCACAGTGGGGAGGCTGGAGCACCAGCACAGGCACCCTTAGGTTCCCCACCCCTGGTTTAAACGGTTACACCCTTACAGGCCCAGTTTTTAGAAGACATTTAGATCTAATTTACCCCTAATAACAGTGTAGAACACAGAGTCAGAATTGGTGGTTGTACACAAACTTTATAAGATCACAGGAAACTTAGCCACCTCCATGATAAATGGACACCTGACTAACTAAAATCATGCTGGATCATGGATGTTGCAGGGCCAGAGAGTGCCAGATTAGAGAGTTCATCCTGTATATTAAATCAATTACAGCCATACTTCAAATGTATGGACAAGAAAAAATTAGAAGAATAGTTATGCAGCTCTAATCTTGTTAAATTGTCAGCTCTCTCAAACTCTTTGTAGAGGGCTGTAAAAATTAATGCAGAATATTAAAAAAAACACGACAAATATTTAGCTCTGAGTTTTTTCCTCAGCCAGCCAGAGAAATGCCACTGAAAAAGCTCTACATTATTTACCACACTAGATTTACAAATGCCAGTATTTGAACCATACAGATACTGTACATTTCCTGACGGCAAATAAAGCCCACAAATTGTGAAGTGGGGGTTTTTCTTTTTTTTAATACAAATATATGCACACTCATAACTATAAATTAAGTTAGCAGAGAAGTTGCAACTGATTTGGAGGATAGAGTCATAATTCAAAATCATCTGGACAAACTGGGGTAAATATCCTGAGGTAAATAGGATGAAGTTTAATTAGAACAAATGCAAAGTGCTCCACTTAGGAAGGAACAATCACTTTCACACATACGGACTGCAAAGCAACTGTCTAAAAAAAGAGTACTGCAGAAAGATCCAGGGGTGACAGTGGAGCACAAGCTAAATATAAGCCAACAGTGTGACACACTTGCAAAAAAAATGCAAACAGTGAGTCTGGGATGCATTGATAGGAGTGCTGTGAACAAGACACAAGTCATTCTTCTGTTCTACTCTGCCCTGATATAGACTTCCGCTGGAGTATTGTGTCCAGTTCTGGGCACCACATTTCAAGAAAGATGGAGAAATTGGAGATGGTCCAGAGAAGAGCAACAAAAATGATTAAAGGTCTAGAAAACATGACCTATTAGGGAAGACTGAAAGGATTGGGCTTGTTTAGTTTAGAAAAGAGAAGAATGAGAGGGGACACGATAGTTTTCAAGCATCTAAAAGGGTGTTAAACAAGGAGGAGGGAGAAAGTGTTCTCCTTGGCAGGGGAACATCCCCTGGCAGCTCTTACTGCATTTAAAATGCAGAGCTGCAGCACGGGTGGATCCCAGAGCTACCCCCACTGCGGCTCTGCAGAGCAGTCCTAGCAACTAATCATATAGTTGATACAAATTGTATCAACTATACAATTAGCTTGGTAACCACAATTTAACATCCTTAGTTTAAACCTGCAAGTAACTTGTGCCACATAATGCAGAGGACAATAACTCCCTTCCCTCCCCTGCAGGTATCTGCCAATCCGACATGGGGGAAAATTCTTTCCCAACCCCAAATATGGCAATCAGTTAGACCTTGAATATGTGGACAAGATCCACAAATCACAAAATCCCTAAAGTAACTTTTGGTTGTCTTCACTTTTTTTCATTTCCTCAGGCTATGTCTACACTTGAAATTGATCAACAAAACTTTTGCTTTAAAAAAAAAATCTGAACAGAAGTTTTGCCACAGCATGCACAAATG